AATACAAGTTCAATTTCTAGAATCATGCGTGCTTACACATACATGATATAGATGGTTTCGGTAGTTTGCTAATCGGTAGATAGTAGAAATAAATAAACAAATAAACAAAGATATATAAATCGGTGTAAATAGGACAATACAGTTAAGTAAAAGTCCCTTCACATTTAGCGCTTTGCTTGCGATATAAATTACACAGCACTAGTTTACACTATATTGACGCACTCCCGACACATGCTCGACGTATACCGCATAACCCTGCTCCAGGAGTTGGTCGGCCAGCGGCTGATATTTAGCGAGCTGTTCTCGGCGCGCCGCCCTGAAGGCCTCCCTCCGATTCTCGAACGGGACACACGTCCACAATGTCGATGTGCCTGGTGATGTCGTTACGGACGACGATGTCAGGTCGCAGGGCCGATGCCGCCCCATGTGTCCCCGCAACTGTGCGATTAACCGCGACCTGACCGGAGCAACGGGCAGCTTTTACCAGCCTGTTTTGAACACTGTTGTGTCTGAGTTGTCTTGCAGCCGCATGCGGCCCACAGTGGTTCAACACGTGTGGGAGGGACTCAAGAGCCGCTCCGCATTTCCGGCATCTTTTGTCCAGTTGCGGTATTCCGCGGATAGCCGCGTTCAGGGGCAGCACAGCATGTCGGTGTTGTTTGCGTGTGTTCTCAGCCTTTCCGATGCCGTCTTCTTTAGGAGTGTCTCTGCCAGCGATCTTGCTGCCGGATCCCTCGCATTGAGGAGCCTGTATCCGTGCGCCACAGTAAGCACATCGTACACATCGGCCAGCGGAAGGAGTCCACCCCCACCCTGCGCGGGGGGGGGGGGGGGGGGGCAGGTATACGACTTCCGCGCTCGCTCGCTGAGGGAGGCTCAGCCACTCCTTTGCCAACTTCCTGATCTCCTTGTCGGCAGTTGACAGGTATTCCTTCTCAATTACGCCTCCCTGCATAATAAAGTCCATGCGCGGCAGAAGGAATGTGCCGACCGCATCGAGTTTCTGCCACGGCGCCAGCAGGGAGTCGCCAATTTTCCTTGCGTCCTCCAGAAGGTCCCGTATCGAAGATATTGGTGTCTGGCGGACTTGGTAGCCCGTTGGTATACCAAGATGCTCGTACATCTGCGCCCCATCAAGCGCGGGCATCGGCGCTCCCTGTATTGTAAATTCCGTGGGCCGGACTTCGCCCTCTCTTCCACCGATGATGTGCAGCGTCGCGCATTTACCCGGGTTGAATGTGATGCCGATCGCCCGCGCGCTCGCTTCCGCCGCCTCCAGGAGGCGTCTCATGCCCTCGGGGGAGCCCACCCGTCGACGCCGGCCACACTACGCACGAGCACCTCGATGGTCAAGTTGAAGACGTCGGGGCTAAGAGGGCATCCCTGCCTGACACCCGACTCAACGCGTATCGGGGCCGTAGTGCCGCCTGCCACTTTCACCCTTGTTGTCATACCAGAGTACAGCGCGCTGATGACGCTCCTGACCCTCTGCTCGGCAGCCCATGGCCCTCCAATGATCGACGAATGGAGGAGTGGGGAATGGAGTCAAAATCGCTAGCGAGGTCGAACCAAGCAATGACCAGTTCCCCGCCCTGGTCCCTAACGCTCCTTATCGCCTCCGGCAGCACAAAGTTGTGCTCAAAGCAACCCTCATAGTTCAAGAATCCCTTTTGCGATTCACTGAATCTGTGGTTGGCCTCCCCCCAGCTCTTTATTCTGTTGGAGAGTATCGCGGCAAAGAGCTTGGGGATCGTGTCGCCCAGAGAAATAGCAATAATTAAGTGAGGAAATACCACCACGGATGAGTAGTACAAAATATAATCTATGCAATTAGAGTTTTTCTGTTTATCATAGTTTTATTGTATCATGTTGTTTACCAAGGTCAATCATGCACGTGGCTAGGATGACAATCTTGATAACTGCAACAGCTACAAGCCAAATGATAACTTATAATGACACTGGCAGTGTCGCCAAGGTTCAACAGTCGATTTACATTCCTTCGGCAACCTGGAGGGGTATATATTTACTCTAACCAGCCGTTGTATGGGAGTTATCACTGACAAATCCTTCCAGAAATCAATTAATGCTATGTTGAACAATCTCTCAACAGGTATCCAAGCATTATCAGAGCAAGGGATAGATGAGGAAAATTTCCCAGATTCCGGAACTGAAGATAATGATAACGGTACTGAAGAACACTGCCTATGATATAGAGAAGAGAGGCAGGTTAACATTGACACATCTTGCCGAAGTCACTACCCTATGTGAGACGTTCTTTGGCGTACTTGATGTATCAAGATGCGGAGGGTTAGTGATAAACGCTCGGAGTATGTAACTTTTGTTAGCTCTCCTATGGTGAGTGATCACTTTGATCTGAGCCATTCGGGCCCGAAAAGTGACACGTAACTATTGTTTTCATACGAATTTATAAAGGGAGTACTTGTGAAACACTTACGAGTTAGTTCAATGCAGTAGCACGCGATGTGTAGCGGTGAACGTCAGTACTAAACGGTCCAGTTGACTCAATACCGCGAAGATTGAAAACGTGCTTCTACAAATTGAAACTTTAATGCAGCTCATACCTTTCATTAATTAATTATAAATAAAGTTGAATACATATGGGTTAATTTAACCATCGCCTTTTTTAGTAGTAGTAGTAATAATAATAATAATAATAATAATAATAATAATAATAATAACAGTAATAATAATAATGAAAATAGTAATAATAACAATAATAGAC